CATATATGTTTGCCAATAAACATAAAACAAAAAAGAAAAAAAAAGTTACTGCGCTAGCTAGCTGAAGGGATGGATCGAAGAGAAATTTTTGGAAATTGCCTGTGAGACAAATAATTGTATTACTATCACGCTGAAAGAAGTCGCAATAACATTGTCAAATTAAATATTGATTGGAGATCACAAAAAAATGAATATTTACAATTGATTTTGTTTTGAGGAAATTTTCAAAAGCAGCCAATTAAGCAATGAAAGGTAATCAAATACCATCAAAGTCAGGTGGAACTTAGTATTGAACTTTAGGTAATCAGCTTGAAATGTTTCCTATAAACACAAATTTAAGTATTATATTAAAAATTGTTCTTTTGAAAAAAAGATGCGGAAGATGCCAAATAGATATTCAAACTCATCAAACTGCCAACACCATGACGAACAACGGAATAATAAACATCAGTCTACAAAACACAACATAAAAACCAAAAGACAGAGCAATACAAACCCACAAAAAATCGTGGTATATCATGTGCTCATGAAGGATAAGCGGATCTTGCTCTACACGTGGCACCCGTTATGTTGCTCATGATTGCAAAAGTCAGGTGATAAGTCTTATTCGTTGGTTTCACATTCGAGGAAAGAAGATATGGTTGTGGTTACGACAATTCAAACATTTTCGTCGTATTTTTTGAAACGATACTCCAAATCTGTCAACCAACTCGTTGTTGCGTCCGTTAAATATTTGAATTTTAATTTTAAACATATTCGCGATTGCCGTTCCAGAATTATGGAACTTTAGATTAATATCTAAATCCTACTTGCTTGGAGAACTGCATCAGATGTGTTTGTCCAACACTTTGAGGGTTGACGATGGACAGTTTTGATTATTATTACTAGGGAGTCGGAAAAGGTATAATGAAATGTTTCCTAAGGTCGCAATGTACAAAATGTATAAAACTGTCTTAGAAAAAAGGTGTAAGACACATACTTATGCTAAGTATACATTCAGTTAAGTCGACCTTAGATGGATTTCGCTATTGTTTAAGGTCCTTTTTGTTTATATAGCTCTTCAACTGTTTAGGTTCTTAGACATCCTTGGATTTCAAATATTCGGCTCTGAGCGTTCCTGATGAAGGTACATCCAGAAAAGCGCGTCGGACGCATGAAATTTATAACGTGTTGTTTTCATTTCTTTCAGCTATTTACAACAATTCTGCTGCACCGAGAGAAGAGTTTTTGATAAAATGTTTGATTCTTAATTTCTTTTGGAAAACTAAAAGTTTTAGAAGGAAATTAAAACTAAAATGTTTCAATTGAATAGAAGTAAACAAATGTCTTAAAATATTCTTGGTCCTGTAAATTATGGAGAAAAGTGTTATGTTTTAATCTTAATTAAAAAAAAATGCCTTTTCACCCCAAAAGAAACATGCCCTAATCCCCTCTATCATTCCTCCAACGCATACAAAATATGAATGGTTGGATCATAACGTTCCGTTATGGATCATATAAGAGAATATAGTTCATTTCTATAAAAGTATAATAGTTTCAGGTTTTCTATTAACGGCTTTTAGTGTAGCTGTGTCATGACTGCATACACCTGGATACTTTTTCCACCTTGTTATGTCCTTGATAATATGTTTAATATATTAAACAAACAAACCCTACATCCACCTCATATAAGTTTTCATTATTCAAAGACAGAAATTGATAAATTAACTGAATTATTTTCTACTTATGAGTTTGGATGTCTCCTTGGTATCTTTTGTCTCTCTTTAACTGAATCCTTGTAACTGTTTTCGCTTGTTACGATGCATCTGATTGGGTAATATAGTATGCATGAACGACCACGCATTTTTATTGTGTACATGTAAGTTACTACTCCAAATAAGGCATTAGCCGTACTTTGACCTATAATTGTTAACGTTTTATACATTGTGACTTGGATGGAGAGTTGTCTCATTTGGCACTCATACCGCATCTTCTTATTTATATAAGTACATATGCATTGCTACTAAATTAAGGTGTAAATGCATTTACGAATGAGTCGTGCATAGATTTACAGCGTCCACTACAGATTGACGATCGTTAATACATTACGGTAGTCTAAGATAAACTTCTAAACTTCGGTAAATGTATTTACGACCGTTAAGTATAAAGTAAAATAACAAAATACCGAACTTCAAGGAGAATTCAAAACGGAAATTCCCTTATCTCAAACACATTAAACACGAATAGAAGACAACTGTCATATTCCAAACTTGGTATAATTGAGATTAAATAATCTATCATTTACCCTTAAACTATGATGGTCTATTTGCAAGTTCTCAAAACGTCCTGAAAGAATCGATCTCAGGTCATCCATGACTACAGGCTTTTATTCCCGAAAAAGTCTAAAATATATTATTTAGACTAGATTTGCATGACTATTCCGCTTTCGGTCTTCAGCCATAGAATGATATGAACAGGTTTATGAATATGATAACTGGAACCATTTTATCAGGAATATGGAAATAAAATGATTAATTCCATTTGAATCTGGGTTAGTTGAATCGGATTGAAAATGATGTTCGAATAGAGTAGAAAATAAAAAAAATCTCTGATTTGACATGTATAATTTCTGTATAAAACACAAGCAACCAAGACCAGTACCTTTTGAATAATAAGGAAGGACGAAAACCATAACTTCTGGCACTCACCTTGTATATTTATGTAGAACACAATGGTCCAAGTATGGAAGCTTTTTGTCACTGTCTTTGAGTGTTTTTGTTGTTTGGACGGACAGACGGACAGATTGACGAAATATTTTTCTATATACCCAACAGCACGAGCGGTGGTGGTCAATAATTGTTTTTTGTCGTCATTGGTTCAACTGATGAATGTTTACATTTTTTTTATAAAGAAAGAAAATAATACACAAACGCACACAAACTGTGACATTTATTTAAAATATCCAACACAAGTGTCTTCATGTATAGAGTCATCTGTTTGGTTCCTTGAAAACAATAATACATTAATGATTTATTAACACACGAATGGCTGAAGGAGCAGTGTACACTGTCTCTACACGATTTATCGCCGTATTGATATTTCTATAATCTCAATTACCCATAAGATATTTTATGTCTGTTGATCTGGAGAATTTTCTTAATTGGCCTTAGTTAAATGGGTATCGGTCCATTTGAGAAATGGCTTTTTATCTTATTTCATAATAATATTTCTGATTTCTACCATCTATAGACCGATTGCATAAACATATGGAAACTATGTTAAACCTCTCAAAATATGCCTGTTATGATTTGTTTCCGACACGATTTGTCGTACTTAAGGTGGTACCCAACACCTTGACTAATATTAATTTGGCTCGTTTAATTTTCACAAAATTTTGACAAAATGTTTACTTTGACAAAAATTTAAAAATTTCAAATAATTTGAACCAACCATTTTATCAGAAAAATTTCACTGGTTATATAGCAGTTTGACAAACACTAATTTTGATCATTGAGAAGCTGAATATTTCCTTAATAATACAACGTGATTAAAACGTTAAGTTGATTTTTACAGAGTTATCTCCCTGTAGTGTTAGGTACCACCTTAAGAGTTGTATCTCTTTGCTACAAGTTTTCAAACTGAAACAAACATGATATTTTGAAAATGGACTAGTATATGCAATGATAAAAGATACCGAAAATTCTAAACTTTTAAATATGTTGTAGTTTGTAGCATATTTTTCCTCGGTTTATTAATAAAATGCAATACTTATTTTGTGTAAAGCAGATACTCAATAAAGTTAGATTTTACCAGAATTAACATTTCTAATATATTAAATAAAAATTTTACAATGAAATGTTCTTCGTATCAAAACCGACCGATGCAAACTTTAACAAATATGGAGGTGAGCAAGGAAATTCTTTTGTTGCTGTTTCTTTATTAGAAAAATAAACGGTATATGTCATTCGAGTGTGTATAGCATTATCATAACATTAACACTTTACAAATTTCGTGTAGCCGAACCGCTTTCGTAGATTTACTTTCATTTGGTACACTCACATCTTAACATTTAAAAGCCAAAGATGTATACTTACCCAGAAATATTAAGAGCTATATTCTATTATGTGTTGCTGAATAGGATCATATTACCCAAACCTATATTGGTGATTAAAGCAAAACAATTACAAGTCGATGACTTAAAAATCAAAGCCTTTCTCTATAATACAATCGAACGACAGAGACAAAAAATAACAAGAAAATATTTGCCAATTTGTCCTTAAAATCAACTTATTTTCAAAAAAATTAAAGTGTTCTGCATCAAATGATGAATTTATATACATGAATAAAACTTCCCATTTGTTTTAAATTATTTCCTTTAATGGGTTACAGACTCTTGAAATGACATTTAATATGATCTTCGTTCTTTGGTGACTGGTGGATAATTCTCCCTGGTAATTGTACCACATTTCCTTACATTTTGTTTTTATATAAAGACGAAATTACAGAAAGTTGTGAATGTTTGACGAATACATGAATATCAATAAAAAAAAGAAGATCACATCACACACCGATATGAAAAAGATATTTCAGCAAGAAAAGTACTTTATAGTTATCTACTCGCTAGTAAAAAAATAGTTTGGCAATTATAATGCTTAATGTTGATTCGGTTAAAATGTGTCAAAAACATATTTTTTTGAAAATACCTAGCAATAATTTCAGATGAGGTCACACTCAAAGTAGTACTAAGCCATAACAAATTATCACATTTTCAAAAGTCAGGTAGTTTAAAAAAATGTTTATTTTCGTAACATAAAAATGTTCATTTTCAGTAAATTTAAAAGGGCAACATAAACAGCAGAAAGTACTTTGTCATTTTACCAGTGAATGAACTGTAAATTCATTATCATACATGTAATTGATTTACTTTAATGGTTCTAACATTAAATATATTGACTGTTGATAACAAATATCAGATAGTCACAATATTTATCTGTAAAAATTATTTCTGACACCTTTAGCTTTCAACCCCACATGATTATCCAATCATATGGACATCTTCTATCGATTATGATCCTCTTATTGTGACCTCTGAAAGCTACTCCCGACGCTCTACATGTTATGACACTAACTAGTGAGGCTCCTATTGAGGCTCCTGAGTGATCTACATGGAAAAATATATCTTTTGCCTTGCGAGATTCATACACTGCGAATCTTTTATCCCAGACTTTCACGGATACTTTTGTTCTCAATTTCTGTTTAGCTCTTGATATATTCATGACCGTTTGATTCTTGTCCACACTTGTAACTAACAGGTTTCGTCCATGTTTTCTAAATAGCGTGTGTCCTCCTGTGACACGCATCATATGGTTGGAGTGTCCGTATATGGGGTTATAGGATACAACAATCCAATCCCTCCAGTAGTACTTTCCAGAAAGAAGATTGAATAGTTCAGTGGCAAATTGACTATTTGGTTTGCCATAGTTATTTTTGGAGTATTCGTCAATATCCCTTTTGTATTTGGCGAAATATACATTTATACACTGATCGTCAATATGTTTGAACTTCATTCGAACTTCCTCTGTTCTATTTATCCATTGTGACTTCATAAAATTTGCATTATGGTCATATTTGTAGGAAAAAAGGTAGACCAACTATATCTTAATAGCCTGCAAGAGAAGTTGCATTACTCCGCGAAGAAATAATTGTGTCTTCGCGCGGTCACTGTCAGTATAACGCAAAACGGAAGTACCAAGATCTTCTTGAAAAGTACCTTGTTTATTGACAATTGATTGGTACAATTTCGTGCCGCTATTCTGGTAATCACTTTCATAATTCGAAATATAAATCTTCTTTCTATTTTCCACAGCAATAGGTGGAACAATATACAGATACCTTTATTCGTGTGCCATTGCCTTTATCCTTTGTTCAATCTACCCGAAATTGACTTGCACGACGTTCAACTTAATCATCTGTTCGATACTGTCGAATCGCTTATCCATTTGATCAAACCGTGAGTCAATATACTTCATCATCTGTTTCATGTAAGCCAACTCCGCAGATTCGGTTTTAAAAAATGCGGATATGAAACTCATTAAGGGAGCTATTGCACCAAGGTAAGGACCAATACTTTTTCCGATCTTTTTCAAGAAATCTTCAAATTCCGTGTTTTCAATCATTTCGGCTATACTTTTTCCAGCTTCAAGCCCTTTGTTCATCGTTTCTATGTCATCCACAGATATGCTGTGTACAGGTGGGCAGAGAATAAAAAAAAGTAGTCACCATGAAGAACCATATCGATGTAAACACTGGTAATGATAAAAAATAAACATAGGTAAATAAGTCAATAAATAAGTCATCTAATTTTCATTTAATTCAGGTGTAAACGAGTTAAAAAAAATAAAATGGAAAGATATGCCAAAGACTGCTATGACATTTTTATTGTAATAATGAAAGGGAATGTCTAGTGTCATGACATAACATTATCACGGCTGTTATTCGGTATATCGAGAAAAATAACGGTAATCAGGTATTTCGATTGGGCGTGACAGATCTGGTATAGGATCGTGAAGGAAATCTTATCGAGAAGACACATACAACGTCAGTAAATAATATAATTTAATCAATTATGACAAAAACATTGGAAAACTAAAACTGTTTATCAAAGTGGTTAAACATTATGATCAGTATTCGAGAAAAATCAAGGCTTAAAAGTACACCGCTTTATAAAACTACAAAATGCTGATTGCTCATCGAAATTTCGGAGAAATAAAAATGTAAACAAACATGACTTTAAAAAAAAAAAATTTAATGCATAAACTACTTTTCTCTTAAGGATGTTCGCTACTCTGTTTCAAAATAACAAGCTTTTAAAAAGACTGTTATAAATTGATAGCATATAAACAAAGGAACTATAAAAGCAGAAAAAAATGAAGGGTCCGTGAGCTTGCTTTCGAGATATAAGCCATTGACAATTTTGCGGGAAATGATTCTCTCTAGATTTTTAATACATTTAACATTGGCACCTTTTTTCCGTCAAAAAATATGAAAAAATAAAAAGGATTTGATAAGATTTTCAAATATGGCATTTTAAACTATATTTAATCAAATTATGACAAGAAAAGACGGGGTTAGTGGGCAAACATTTTCAATGGCACTACATGGATAAAACCAGAGGATTCCGAATATCTGGCAAAAATTCAAAAACAAGAGGAGCGAACATCCTTAAAAACATTGTTCAGTGTTACTATTTAAAATAGTTCTTAAAGTTAATTTGATTTTGTTTAATACGAAACTTTGCAAAAAAAGGTAATATTTGTAAAAAATTGATATTTCGAATTGTGAAAGATCAGGTACTGCATATCGATGATCGTGAAAAGGATCATGAAAGATCTGCTATTCGTTATTTCAAAATATCCATGAGAACGGTAAAATCTTTCTTTAAACAAATGATAATTTATATTTAAAATTGGATTAAACAAAATGTTGGAATTGCATGACTTCTGCTTCACTTTTTTGAATAGGGCTTTGGTTGTTCAATGGTCTGATTATTTGATAACACCACACCGACTTGTTGTCTTATAACAATATATGTCCGTCAGTCCGTCCTGCATAAGTTTTATGTCGATTCAAAAGTCAAGACTGTCTCATCTGATTTCCATTAATTTTTATGCACAGTCATATCTATAAAACGAAGATCCTTGTTGATCTTTGTAAAAATTTGAAACAAAACATTGTTAAAGATAACCTGAGGAAAACAACTGTCATATTGCTTACTTGGCACAGGCATTTCCTTATTGATGGTGGGTTAAACCTTTAAAGCACAAGTTTTTCAATGTCGTGCACACGAGATTAAAAGTTGTAAGCACTATTTTTTTATATTAGTGCGCACCAGATAAAAACTGGCAAACGAAATAATTATATTTAACATGGCACTTAAGGGGCTCCTAACACGCCTTGTCTTTCACGATCTAAAGAATGCGTTGACTGATCTTTTACGATCATTTTTGATTAAAAAAGCAACCAAATAATACTTTTTTTTCAAAAATAATATGAACATTTGCAAGTTATAACATTCTTTTTTTCTGGACTATCTGACACAATAAAGATTAAGTTTCTAACATATCATGATATATTGGAATGTGATCTTCATAGATACAATGTTTTTTTCTTAATGATTCCTATTGGACTGTGTGTCGCCTTTTGTGTTTTCTTTGAAAGTACTGCATTTTTTCTTTAACTTAGTGCACAGTATTATCATGGAAGTTGAGTCATTTTGACAAGCATATTTTTTTTCTGATTTTTTCCATCTTTTAAAAATACAGATGTTTCTTTTTCACAGTCTGTTGAAGCAGAATTATACTTAATTACATTCACAATCAGATACAATATCGTTCACTATCCCATTGCAATGCTTGGCCACCGTTAGATATTCTTTCACGATCATTTTCTCGATATACCAAATGACACCCGTATTTTGTAACGTTTATTCGAATAGTACATGGTTTATTATCATGATTATATAAAACGAAAATGGATACTTTTGTGGGAAAAAGGGACCATAGGTATTTACGGTTTAAAGATTGTCTCTTTTGGTGACATAAACAGCATACTTTACACTGATTTAAAAAATGATTGCATGGTAAGTTTCCATGACATCAGTTAACAACGCGACTACTTTTGGTTGACGTTTTCAAGATCATATTCTTCTCAACTTAATGTAAAATATCACATGTCATTATCATGTACCACTAAGGAGATGTAACAGTCGTTTTACTACTAGTTTGCTGGCAAGATATACATTCTTCTAGGATTAAATTGGGTTTTAGCCTCTTTGAAATAGTAGGATAAAGTTTCAACGGAAATCCCAGTTCTGTCGGATGTCGGAGTTTTGTCAAATTGCAATTCCATAGAATATTTTTTTGTTCGTACCGACCAACAGAGTAGCTGTATGATGTATGACGTAAATACTACACAGAAGTTGTTAAGAAAGAAATTATAAAATAATTTCTCTCCGAACCCTTCACAGAGATTCAAATATTAAAAAGTCATATCATTCGCACATATTAGATTAAGGCCTCCTCCGAACATTTGAAAATACCTACTATGTACTGGCTACATAAAGTACAAAAAAATCCTAAAAATAGCATTTTATTGGGCCTCTTGTAAGTCTTATGTAATAAAATATATGTAAATAATCCAATAAATTATTTTTGATGTCACTGTGTAGATATAAGAAAATGAAAATAATCCAATAAATTATTTTTGAAGTCACTGTGTAAAATATTCTTTATTATATTTAGATATATTATGTGCTTTTAACGGTCCTTTTGATTCTTTGAAAGATTCGATTTTTCGATTTTCTACACAACATTTTCACACAATCGTATCAAACAAAACGTTAATTAGATGGTCCTTCGTTCTATTTTATTTCAAATTCATTAGCTGCAACTCATATAAAGTCCTCATCTGTGATGAAAAGGCAAATATGCTATATTTACGTACTGAACGTGAAGTGCGATGATTAAAGATGTAAATCATCTCCTTGGCAACATGCTTTAACGTTTCGGCAATAAAGTTTATCAAGGGATGGTATGTGTTCATACGACACCATTTATGCATCTTTAATAGCAAACTTACCGTTACCTTGATCATAGTTTTTCTTTTGATAAGCAAGAATCCTTAAAATGTACTACCGACATTTACCCAAGGGAACATACTTTTAAGAAATCTAATATATAAGCCAATAACTGTCCTTTCCTAGACGTAGATACACCAGTTTCACATGGGAAACTATTTTCACACGTTTACGACAAAAAGGGCAATTTGGCATTCCCTTTTGTTATTTTCCCTTTTTAGATTGGAATGTTCCTTTGGCCTAATCTTATATTGTATATATATCCCAACTCGTTCGCTATGCCCGGGTCTGTACGACATTATATTTCAATTATTTTAACTTATGTATTACTGGTGAATTACTTAGTCAGGGGTTTCGTTACCGCAAATTACTTCAAGCCTTTATTAACGTCTTTTGTATTCAAGAGCTTGCAGCTGCTACTCAGACTTTATAAAACGTCACCAGTGTCTGAGCAGAAAGTTGATGAACCAGGGTTATGCGAAAGAACGTCTCGTCCTTTTTCTAAAAAAAAAGGTCACCAGAAGGTAACCATAACTTTGTTGAAAATATTCCTCATCAACTTCACAAATCTAGGTACTGACGTTGTTTATCATCTTAATAAAAAAGTTTTCAACAACATATTTTTTTGTGCTCCAATACCAAGCACTTCATTTTTAATCAGACACAGTTACTTACATAGTACATGCAGAGATGTATAGTGTACTACACATGAAGTAAATCATACAATAAACTTCAAGTATGGCAATCCTTTTTGAAAAAAAATGTCCATGGGGTGGATATAAGAGCACATGCAACAGTGCGACAACCCCTTGACATAAAACAAATAAAAAAAAATAATAAATAGCAAAAAAATAAACAAAAGAAACAAAAGATTAAATGGAAATAAAATCAGCATAGATATCAGGATTAAATTTTGTACGCCAGACACGAGTTTCGTCTGTAAAGACTTATAAGTGACAATTTCGGAAGGTTTTGCCAAATACGTCTAAGGTAATATATTATTGGAGTAAGAACATCCTAGGTATGTCAAAAAAAAAAGATTCGCAAACCGCTAATTTATATAAAGACGTTGATTTGTAAATAGGGATATTGCGACAAGAAAAGAATACCCATTTTCCGAGATCGTATGTGGTAAAAGTTATATTCCAATGTCATTAGTTACGCAGAAAATCAGGTTAGTCGAGTTCTTTGTCTTGCAACCGTAGCTTATTTTTAAGATCATTTTTTTCCAGCTATAAACCCTTCGTCATCGCTATTAAATAGATCGTCGCCCACGATTAATAGCTCATAAATGAAATACCGGTATGTATTTTGTTATACCTAATGACTCTTAAAGAAAGTGTGCTACGCTCTCCGCATATTTGATAGTTCTTGCAACAACTCTTTGAGGAGTCGGTCGTTTCATGACCTGTTACACGGAAAAATCTCCGCCACTACGCATCAGGCATACCATATGCA